GGACTGTGTGGAAGGCAGGGGAAAGATTATGGTATTAGGAAACATGTCTTATTGCAAGAGACTCAATCAATTAACAAATCAAAGAGAAAGTTAAAGAATGATTTGATCACAGCCTGCAAGTGCTTACCATAGGGAACAAAGATTTGATAATAGAGGGCTCTTCAATCTAGCAAGCAAAGGCAGAGCAAGATCTAAGGGCTGGAAGTTACAGCAAGACAAATTCAGTYTAAAAATAAGGTGCAAATTTTAAGCTCTCAGGGAATAACTTGAAATAACTTGCTGAGAACTGTAGTTTATCTTCCAGCACTGGCAAAATATGTTTTAATCAACGCTTGGCCTTGTTCTAAATTTTTTCTTCCAAGTTTATTACTACTTTCATTTGGAAAATTATGGTGGGGTAGAAGAGTAAGTGGCACAAGGTGGGAAGCATTCACTACAGCACTCAGCCAGAGCCACGGGACTCGGCTGCCATTTCACCCCCACGTTACAGACCTTCTTCTGGGCAGCTCGCCTCAGGTGAGACACCTTCCCACCACCGCACACCCTGCCCAGCCTTCTGACTAACGGGCACCGACTCCAAGCAGACTGCACTACAACTGGGAAGCAGGAAGAAATCATCATTTGCAATTATCCCTTGCAGAAGTACCTCAACACAATACTTCAGAAGCATTTTAGGCRTGCCATTGTTTTCCAAATGTAAAGGTAAAACACAAATCACAGTATGGTAAAGATCTCTCAGCAGGCAATTAAAAATTAATCAGCTAATTAGATCAAATGAACAAGAAAATAAGGTTCAGGAAGACATCCATTCTAATTAACATAATATTAACTTACAAAAGACTTGTTCAGACGAAAAAAGATCATCTTTACTTGAAATATCAAACGAATCAATAAAAGGAAACAAACAGTTATTTCTTACCTTGTTATCCCCATGAGCAAAGCCAAAAGGAAATGACAGTAACAGTGAGTCAATTGCTGGTGCAACTGCATTCATTTCTTATTGGTTTTAACCTTGTTAACTATTTGAAKCCACCATTTAGACTAACTTATATTAAATTGAAAAGGATACTATCCATGTTGTACCTGCTCTACACTTGCTGTACTCCTTAAGGATTTTCTAGGCAATTAATATTAAAACTAACAAGAACCAAACTCCCACCTAGGCTCTCCTCAGCTAGGTGATGCCYAACTAAAGCACAAAGCTTCTCTGTAGAGACAGAAGATGTTAAAATACGACAAAAAGTGGAGGGATTCTTGAGCCTGTATCAGGGATGATAACATATACTCTGAAGAACGGAAATAACATTATAGGACACCTTATTGAATAAACCTGACTGGTTAAGCGGAAAGGCTCAGGCAATCAGACAAGGAATTGGGCATGGTTGAACCTAATTGGATAGATTTCATAGATTAGAAATATCTATAATTACAGCGGAGTTCCTAAAATATTTTTTCAAATGCCAGCTCACTCTAGAGCTGAGCAGGTAGCCGGACCTGCCGCGCGGTAGTCGCGGAGCAGCGCCCGGAGCAGCTCCCGGAGCAGCACGGGGACGGCCACGGTTCCCTGCGGACACCGCTCGGAGCAGCCACGCTGCAGGCCCCGGACACGGCATCTCGGGATGGCCTCGCACAAAACCCAGAGCTCGGCACCTGCTGACAGGCCCCTCTTCCAACTCCCCCAGGCCAACACAGCTCTGCTGCCCCTCTGGTGACACCGGCCCAGGTTGGGGCAACCTCTGCACTCCTGGGATTGCACTGCATGGGATTCACATTCTGCAGACCAGGCTGGACGTGACTGCCTTATTTACTTTTGGAGATAGATGGATATTTTTGCAGGAAGGGTATGTAATGGTTTAGAAGCAGGCTCTGCAAACCAATTCCACAATGAATGTATTTCACTTTGATCAGCCCTTCTAGCCCACACCAGAATTGAGGCAGTATTTTGCTTTGCAGAAATTAGTACCTTCAAGACCTGCAGTGGATTTATTATTTCTGCTAGGGCTTGCACTTCCTTTCTGATCCACTGCTGTAAAATCCAGAGGGACAGAACAGTGCAGCAAATTACTGCAAAGATGTAGTGTGACATAGGAAGAGTCAGACGTGTTATGTGTGAACAATACGACAAAAGGAAAAGCCATCTGAAAAATAAATGAAAAAAATTAATAATCAAAAGGGTGTCTAATTCTTATCCAGGCACCTGTTTGCTCGCTCTGGGCATTGGGACCATCATGCCAGGGCACGTATAACTGGAAGGAACCCCGGGTCTAAAACCCGTTGCTGTCTGGGGAAGCTGCCAGACCGGCCGTCCTGCAGATAGGCAATGGAGGGAGGCACTGCAACCTAACAGCCCTGCAGTTCCATCCCCATTCCCATCGCACGCTGGGACAAGCGGCCAGCCCGCGCAGGGCAGCGGTGGCTCTGGCCTGCAGCCTTGATCCTCACGCAGCACGAGAGCCACAGCAGGAGCGGCAGGCGCCTCCCTGCTCCGCATCCCAAGCCCATCTTTATCTTTGCTCCATGAACAGCAGTTTGTATCTGAAACACAGCTCCTGGTGACCACCTCGTGCTCTCTCGAGGGCACTCACCGCGCACCCCTGCAACGCGCAGCATGCTCACTGCCTGACCTAGTTCTCCTCACTGCCTGACCCACTTCGGCGGATCATTTCCCTTAAAAGCCCAGACACCAAGCAATGGAAAGTTTTCTTTAAATGCCAGTTAATGAGCAATGGAAAATGTCATCATGAGGAAGTTATGTAGGTATTTAAAGTGCTCTGCTGGATCAGGCCTTTGTGAGCTACAATGTAATTTCACATTCGACTTGATTTTCTGTGTGAGAAATACAGTAAAATGAAGCTCTGTGATTTAAAAAAAAAAAAAAAAAAAAAAAAAAGAGATATACGTAAAAAGTCTTAAAGCTTCCTAGTTTCTTGGTTGGCATGGTAGTGAGTAGAAACGGGGAATGCAGAGGTATAAACCAGGCCACGCTAGTGTAAATTACTGTGACATTTAATAACTCTCTCCTAAAAATTCTCAAGCAAGGATACTTTGGATATTTTTAAGGTCATGTATCATTTACTGCCTAGGTCAATTTATGCCTCAGCAGAGAGTGCTGCAAACCCACCCGGACAGCTTTTTAAAAATAAAGCTACACGTAACTGCTTGGGCTGTATTTTCCTCACCAGTCCTGCACTGTGAAAATTAAAGCAACGTTCTGTGATAAGTGAACTCTGCACGATATTTCAAGGCAAGTCAAGGGCAAGCTTTATAACTGGGCTATGAAAATGCTTATTAATAAAAGCAAAATGGAGCAGGATTTCCCCGTGGACGGAAAAATATATTGTCCATTAAGTTAACGTTGCAAGTACCCTCCCCAATCTTCACGAAGGCAGCACAGCACATATTTATCTCCTGGATAAACTATCTCTTATCACGTTGTGCGATCACTCAGTGAGTGCTCCAAGGCTTCTGAGGGGATATATGGGTGGGAAGGATTTCAGTAAAAACAAAAAAACAGGCTAAAACCTGTGGCTATGGTATTCTACTTTCATACTAAGCTTTACACAGGTGTCCCAGATTACTCCTGTTTTGGTCCACAGGGTTGTATTTACCAAAGTGTCTTGTGCTAAGCCTCTAAATCCAGTGGTTTTTTATTTATTTATTTTTTTTTTTTAAATGAAACTGCAGTTTGGAAAGAAAAAATATCCGCACAGTTCCCTTTGAAAATGTCAAAGATATTTAAAAATATTGTGGAAAAAGATCATATTTGTCAGATTAAATTATTTATAATAATTTCCATCCCCTCACAAACCTTCGTATTTTCAGTGAAATTACTGTCATTGATTTTCCTTTTCTTCTCCCACAGTAAGTATGAACGATGAGCTGTAACATCTAGTCACTTCTCTTTGTTAAGTAAATCGGTGCGTCGTTCTTCTCCTTTGGAAAATCCCACTAATGAGACATACCCTTTCCAAAACAAAAAAGTTCTCTTTAAAATTTTGTACTCAAAAGACTTTAGAGTTTTGTTTTTTCCCCACTCACATTTTCAATATTCTCATTACACTGCTGGATATTTGTTAGGAACTTTGCTAGTCCTTGCACATTTCCTTCATTTCATTTTTGATTCTTGCCTCATAAAATACAAGAAAAAAAAAGTTCTCAAGCAGCTAATAGTACTATGAAAACCGAGTTCATTATTCAGCCAGCCTCCTCCRTTATTTATCCCTCTTCATTTACTCCGAACAACGTCACCGAGAGCTTGCTGCAAATCCCTGGAATGGAGCCCGGCCACAACCAGCCTTGGTCCAGCTGCTGGAAACGGGAACACAAACGCTCCTCCTTGAGCCCATAGATCCACAGAAAACCCCTCAACACCCCAGGCTTCCAGCAGCACGTTTCCCARGTTATTAAACAGCACCAGCTCAAAGCCCAGCTCCTGGGCTGCAATGAGTACACACACTTTCATCCATTAGGAAATCGGAGCTTTTTCACCTGCTGCTTTCACCTAAGATTTCACTTTTCTGTATGTGTAGGCATTCGCCTTTTTTGCCCAGTTTTATTAACACAACTTTSCATATGCTGAAACTGATGTAACAAGATTTTGTATGCAGAACTAGACACACATTAAAAATGTTCTTTCTCAAAATTCTTCCACCATAAGWGCAAAATCCCACTAATGTGTGAAAGACCTGTGGCGAATACTCGCATTTTATGAATGGGGTAGGTGAACAATGAGCTGGGAGAAAAGCAGAATCAAAGAGACAGCCCTGCGAAGCCCACAACATTCACCAAATGTGACAGGTGTCGCTTAATTTTAACTGTTTATGACAGCATTTCAGGAGATACCTGTTAACATACGGGAACAGGGAAGGAGAGGCCTCCACAATACCCAGCTGCTCGGTGGGCGCTAGGAGATGGCTGCAGAGCCAGGACTCCTCTCAGGAACACTTTCCAGTCGGTCTCTTAATTTAAACGCGTTTTGTTAAGCCGCAGGCTGCACCTACCCTGCTGTGCGGAGTCCCTCGTGCTCTCGGGACGCTGGTGTTCGCAGTGACCGCCTGCACCTGCGGAAAATGGACCCATTTCAGCCACCCGGCACCTGTGAGACGCGTCCCTGTGGGCACCGCAGCCTCGTCCTGGACGGRGCCCTGACAGAGAGAGACCTGCCAGGACGGAGGCACTGCAGGAGAATCGCTGAGCTTGGGCACCTGACGGGGCCTCTGGAGGCTAAATTCACAGGTTTCAGTCCTGCCCCCCTTTTGTACCTCAAGTATACACCATAAAAGCAGTGACCATTCAAACACCTACAACTTCCTGGTACTAGTAACCGCATGTATAACAGTTTCTCTGTTTAATGCACGGTATTTAATTATTTTTCCTTGTTAAAAAGTCTTCCCATAGCTTTGATTACACTCACAGTACCTGCACACGCCCCAGGCCTCGYGTGCAAAGGGAAGGGATGTCTCACACCATGGGGAACGCCTTTCTGGGGATGTGGAGGCTCTCCGCACGGCAGCTCGGGCCCGAGCCGCAGGGCTCCCGTGCCGCAGGCAACGCGGGACCCCGATTCCTGCCGGGGTCACCYGCACACCGCGCAGGCCGGGAACCCCGACGGAGCCGGCCCCATGCAGATGTGCTCACAGCCCCGCGCTCAGCCGCTGCCTCGCGGCCACCCCGGTGTGCTTCTTTTACACCGCTTGGGTCACTGGGGCCGCCGGGCCCCTCGTGCGAGGCGCTTACCTAGCACGCTCGCCTCCACACCGGCTGCCCCTCCAGCAGGGAAGGGCACGGCCACGGAGGGCAGAGCGGGTCTGGCCCGGAGGCCGCCCCGAGGGCTGCCGGGCCCGTCACGTCCCGGTCGGGCCGGGCCGGGCCGGGCCGGGCGGCCCCTGCGCTCCCC